CACTCTTTCATGTTTCTGCAAGGTGAACTCTAGAGGAAGTGAGGTGAATATAAACCATGGAAAATTTGGCATGCATCTATAAAGAACCCTATCTTGGCATGATTGCTATTTATTTTGGCAGTAGGCTTTTATACCTTCTAAAAACAGATTATCCTGTATGTCTTCTCAGTTTGTCTCTATTCATTTTAATCTCAAAGTTTAGAGTACAGAAAGGGGGAGTGTAGCCAAAATCCATTTCTTTCTCATTAGATATCATGAGCTGGAAAGGACTTAAATAATGTTTCTCTGATCAGTGGTCACACTCCCCACTCTCCAATTATACCATGAAAATAACATTTTGAATACCTCATTTTTTATAGAGGAACCAGTTTGTCATTGAGTTCTATACAATTTTAATCAGAACAACTTTCTGAAAAATAAAACCAAAAACCAACCACACTTTTCCTAAGATGAAAAACTTCTGTATTTAGACAAAGGTATCAATGAATGGGCTAGTTAAAATTCACTGCAGACAAAACTGTTGTCATCTTGGCTCCTGAAATAAATGGCTCTTTGGCTATTCTGTCCCTTTTCAATACTGGATAAGAGCTTCTAGAGGGAAAGGCAATGCTTGTACGTTCAGAGATCTTACTACTCTAAAGGAAACTGCAGCAAAGAGTATATACCTTTCAGCTAACATTCTTCTCAGCAGTACAACAAAGCAAGCCTCATGTCCCAGCTTAAATCCTCTCGCTTGTGATCTAAACCGTAGCATTTGCACTGTTTGGCCATTCAAATTTTTAACGGGGAAAGTAAATTGGCAAACCCAGTAAATTGGACTTGTCTTTTGATTTCAGTATTTAGTAACAGCAGGTTCTGCCTGTACCTAGATGCAAAGTGGTTATTTAAAGCCAGCCCTTGAAGGGAATGCCATGGGAATGGGATTCCACTGGGGCTTAATGGTTTTAAATGAGCACCGTCTCCCATAGCCGTACCACTCGGTCCTGCACTTTTTCCATAGCATTACGTTTGCGCTGCGCTGGATTAATAAAGTCAAAACAAAGCACTGTATCATGTTTTTAGAGATACTGTGTTGCATATGTTAATACCTTGCTTCTGTATACTGACCTCAGGCAGTGGCTAGGATGGCATCTGCAAACTAACTCTTCAAAACATGAGCTGCGCACAAATTGCTGTGACGAGGAAAATAATCTTACTCTATGTTTGTTTTCCAGCTAAGAAGCTCTTTCAAACAGGCCTTTGGAAAGAAGAAGTCCACCAAGCCTCCTTCCTCACATTCAGACATAGAAGAGCTGACAGACTCCTCTCTTCCTTCGTCACCCAAATTGCCCCACAGCTCAGGAGAGTGCGGGGCAACATCAATGAAACCATCACAGTCAGCATCTGCGTAAGTCTCTCTCTTGGCAAACCTTTCTTTCCAAATGGGATGGACTGTGAAACAGACTTTCCCAAGTGTGGCCATTTGCAGTTGAGAAACCATTGCCAACAGCCATGATCTTTCAATCTCACGCTCCATCCATTTGCCAGATTTCTCATGAGCTTCACCCCATTTACACACTACTTTTCCAGGAGCTCTTTCTTAGATCATTCTGTCCTCCTTTTGCAGCCTTTACCCAAAATCATCTAGCAGTACAAACTCCTTTCCAAACGCATATCCAAAAGCTTATGTTGTGCTCTTCCTGCACCATTAACAACTTTATCATATCCACTTAATAAAGGCCAAATATTACAGTTTCCTTTCTTCATGACATACTAACAGTGTCATTTTATTTTCCAGGTAGCTATGAATTTTTACAAGATACACATCCCTTCTGTTATTGCTTTATCTACTTTGTAGCTACTAATTTATATAATTTTTACTCTATTTCCCCTCTTTTATCAGCTTCAATTTTTTTGCAATATTTTACTTTTATTTTTTATTCAAATCACCATCCTTAAGATTTCAGGACTGAGAACAAGTCGTCAGTCAAAAGCTGTCCCATTTCTTCATTATTTTTTGGATGTTTAATATATTCTTCTTACGGAGTTCTCAGATCCCATTCATATTCTTCTGCCTAATTTTTTCTTCATTCTGCTAAACTCATAACTTTTTCCAGTTTGGGGAAATCAACTTCTTTGAATCAACAAACGCGTACTACTGATGCCAGCCTTACTTAGTTTGTTCAAACTGAGAATAATCAGGTCACAACTACTATTCCTTAGGTTAGGTGCCTTTTATAATTAACTTTTTATACACTCTAATGATTTTTATAGAATAGGTTTAGGAGTTGGACAGCAAATATTCCCTCAAAAGAAAACCCTCCACAATAAATGTTTTTCTTTCCTCACATTCTCTACAGACTAGTCAGGAATAACTCATCTAGATCTCTAGTATTGTTGGTTTTTTTATAGGAAGCTCACATATTTATGGTTTCAGGTATATGTGTGTTTTGGAAGGAGGATTTCTACATGTTTGGGACCCTTGAGTCTGATTTGTTATCAACCAAAAAATCACTAGTAAAAGCCTTAATAGAAAGTGCTTGAACTTAAACAAAACACTTTTATTCTACAAAATTATTTACTCATGATTCACAGATCTGCTCTTATAACCTTATTCTGTTTCCTTTCTGCCAACCCTGGTTTTTCCTCTGTCTGACTTGCTCTCTAGATGTACTGGTGTTCACAGAATTTATCAAGGGCAAAACTACATATCTAATCTTTCATCCCAAGCTCTTCACATGGCCATTTGGTCTCTGAGCCTTAACTTCCTAAATTCTGTCCAGTTCACAGCCTTCTGGTTCTTCCTCCATAACATTTTTAAACATTAATCTTTCTGATTGTATTATTACATTTTTTATTATTGTGACCTTTCTACACAGGATAACATAGATTCCTTCCCTTCCACAGAGAGATCACGTAAAATATATTTATTTAGTCAGCAGCCTGTGTTAAAAGATCATGACTGACTTACTCCTTCTACCCAAAGCAGCCTATTGATTTAAAAATCCTGAGATTGTAACACGAAAAAAAAAGTAAAACTCTTTCTTTCTAACTACTTTGAACCTTTGTCTGAAGTCTGATCAGGCTTCTGAGCTTCTTTCTGTGACTGCTCAGGAACGCTAACTTATCTTTTTGTTTTTCTTCCTTTTGATGAAGTCTCATCTTTTTATGTAATTTTACAGTTGCAGGAGCTGAGTGTTGAAGAGCTCTGGAATCTGCAAAAGAAAATTCAATTCAATTCATACTTTCTCCTTCTATTCTGCTTATCTTACCAGTCTGGACAGCTTCTTCCAGAACCATAACCCCACTTTCTGCTTCATTTTTATGTTCTTTAAAGCTGGTTTGCTAAGGTCTTTTTGTCCATCCCTTCTCAAGATGGACTGCAAAAAAAGCCAAAAAGAAAATAGCCAACAAATAGATACGTGACTTCCCAGTTGTCCAAGTTGTTGTATGAGATAATATACGCATGTAAATAAAATTTCATTTCTTATTTGGTTAGCATAGGTGTGGGCACATCAAACCAAGAACTGTATCATAACATTTGGAAAAAAATCCTAGTATATGCCTTTATTCATTTTTACTCACATTTAAAATATTTGTGCATGTTGTGAATGATATTCATTATTTTCCTTCTTCTGTTTGCCATATCTTTTTATTTGCCATGAACTTCTTCATCTTCCCTTTGCTTACGCTTTCTTTATATATTTTCTTGACCTGAGTCTCATGTTCTAAACCATTACCTTTACTTTCTTCCAATTGCATCTGTCTAATACGTGTGTATGCAGGTCATCTCTAGTCTGGGCACCAAAGAAAAGGCAAAACGGTCACGTGGTCTACAAGCATAGATCCCGGTAAAATTGAGTGTGGGGCATGGAGTTGTATACCCAACTGCTGACCTGAAGAGTGCTGCATCTTTTTTCCCAAAATGCATTTGCATGCATTCTGGCAATTAAAAGTTGACCTCTGTTTCTTGTTTGTATATTAGTAGTAATAATCACAATAATAATACTTATTGTTATAAAATATTTTTCATATTTAAATTGCTCTGCAAATATTAACTATTTATAGTGACAGTAATAAAGAACAAATAACATTTAGTGAATTGACTGAAAATATTGCTTAGTGTAATAACGTAGCCAAATTCAGTGTTTTATTTTCTACTGCTTCTGTTATGCAACAGATCTAGGTCTGATGGTGACACAGAGAGGCAAAACAGTCTGACATGAGAACTGGACAGTTGTGGTTCCCTCAGCCAGTCATGTTTTGATCTTTTCTCACAATATAATTATTTCTCCCCTTAGAATTAATGCTCATGAAAAATGATCACATGGTGATTATTTTTAATCCAGTCTTTAAGGAAAAAAAAAAAAAAAAACAAAACGAATCAGCATGATTTCAGATATCATACATTACCAAATGACAGACTATAGGCAAAAAGTCAGCCATCACAAATCAAAACCATTACAGATTAAAATCTTCTAGATCATGAAATCAAGCACTGTCTCTTTGTGTACTGTTCAAAACAGAGAAAACGGTTGACGCCTAGCAGATAATAAATATCAGTAGTACAGTTTAATCAGCATAGTTCAGTTCTGACTATTGCTACTTAGGAAAGTCATAACCTTTGCACCAAAGAAATGATGCAGATATAAAATCAAATTAAAACCAATGGGTGATACACACTCAAAGAAAAAAGTTTTCTGAAAAGTTTTTAACAACTTTTTTTCACCATAGTGAACTATCTAACTAAACTGGAAAGGTATAAAGCAAGCTGATCATTTCACCTGGAGAGGGCTTTTTTCCTTTTTTTAATTTGGAATTTGAGCCTTTTCATGTTTCTTTGATAAGATTCTTTCTTCACTCATAGGTTTCACCAGCAGCAAGCATTTTCTGTACTTTGATATTTAGTAATGACACTGCTTTGGGGGGAGAACCTTCCTTTAATCTCCTGCCTGTTTCCTGCTCCTCTTTAGGATCTGTGAGTGCACAGAGGCAGAGGCTGAAATTATTCTTCAGCTAAAAAGCGAGCTGAGAGAGAAAGAGCTAAAATTAACGGACATTCGTCTTGAAGCCCTCAGCTCTGCACACCATCTGGATCAGATTCGGGAAGCCATGAACCGCATGCAGGTCAGTGCAGTAGCTTAAGTGATGACAGGGGTGCACACCAAAAGTATGCCTGATGTATTTGCTTTCCCAGTACTTTGTTTCACGTACCGAAAAAATGTTGATACAAAGTAAGTTGCTAGATTGACAGTACTTCCAAAGGATGGGTACGATAAAGTGTTCAAGTTATAATAATGATATTCTTAGCATTTATATTAATAGCTAAAATGTGTTTAAGAGATATGGAAGGATACATAATTCCTGCCCAAAGGATATTTGTTATCTAAAGCCTATGACTGGGAAAGCAACATGACAGAGAAACATATCAAGAAGTGATTTCTTCAGAACTTTAAATCCTTGGGCCATGTGGGGGGCGGGGGTAAATGTGCATACTCTCTCATCATTTCTGATTCCTAACCCAGTCATGGCTTGCCGAAGCAAAGAATGTAAAATTGAACTAAATTATTGTATCCATCTTCACTAAAATTTCACTACGTTATTTTGTGACACTGCTCCAAATTCTTCTTGAACACATTTTTCATCAAAAGACTTTTGCTTTCATGAGGCTGAAAGGATGTAGAAGGAACAGCAGTTCTTCAGTGGAGCATGGAGCTTTGTGGGACTCAGCTCTGTTGCCCACGTACAAGTGTCTAGTATCATGTTGGGTGCCCAAAAGTATCTACAACATCCACACAGTATGACATAGGTCCTTCAGTAGATCTGGGCCCTTCTGGAATGGCAGGTGAGATACTTAGGACACCCCTGAAGGCACTATAAACCTGTATTTGGGAAACAGAATCAAGGCCATGGGGAGGGGATTCAGGTATAGACTAGGACAGCTACATTTAGATGTCTAGGTACGAGCTAGGTGATAAACTCCTGTTGTAGTCAATTGAGTTTTAGTCCTGCAGTAGTAGGGCCTAGAGAGTTATCCTAAAATCATCCTAAAATAGGTACAGCGGGTGAAGTCGAGTTGTTTGAGCATAGGCACCTATTACTGTTTGCACCAGCCTCAAGTATTTACATCTGCACAGGACTTGTAGGCTTAGCATTCTACCCATGGAAGACCATGTTTACAATGACACTGGAAACCCACATTTATACGCTGAATCCAGCCCCAGTGGCTTGTCAGCTGAATTGCTCTGTGCTGGGTGCTTAGTTCAGGTGCACCTGCAGGCACCTTTGTAGAGATGTCCACAGAGGTTGTTTTCATAACTACCAGATTTGGTGTGTTTACTGTCTTTTCTAGACTTCTTTGTTTATACCATGCCTATAATAGTCTCAGCCACACCTTTAAACGTCTATGGTAGCCGCCATCCTCCCACGTGCTCACACCACTAGAGGCCAACATTGCTATTGGATATTTGGCTGAACTTCAATTAGGGGGAAGATTAATCAAGAACTGGTCCATAAATATGGGTTTCAATTGTCCAGACATATGTAAAGCATTTGATCTGAAGCCACTAAAAATTTTTTAGGAACAGTAAGGGATAGAATACAGTTAATTGCAATGGTGGAGAACAGGACATGAAGGCTTATCAGCTGATTACGGTCTTACACTGGGATATGAGTGCCTAAACCAGGTGAGCTCCCCAGAGAGAGGAGTCTGTTGTAGTCACAGGCCTCCAAAGTTTGACTTTCACCAAAGCTGGGCAGAGGCGACTAGTTCAGATGCTGTCACCGGTAATCACCAATTCTTCTGAAGCTTTCCCAAAAGGACAGGCAGCCACCTTGGAGCTGCCAAACTCTGTGACATTTTGGAGAATTGCTGAGGGTTGATAAGGGGAAAAAGCAGGATTTGTGGGAATGATATATGAATACTATGTGTATTCAAAGCACCTTAAAAATCTAAAGCTCAGTTGAATGGAAGACTGCTAAGAGTCGTGTAATTAATCAGCGTAAATTGCAGAGGAGATGGAGATTGCGTGACTCATTTCCCCATAGTTCCTGATTTGAACCCCAGGCTAAACTGGTGCATTCATCTGTTACCTTCTGTCACTATTTTGCTGGTTTGTCCCTTCCCTTTCACTATCTCCTCACCTTTACCCATATGATCTAATCTTTTTATAGCTGTTGCAGGTTTTTTGTGATGCTATCCCTTATGTTTTTACTTGTATAATGTAGCTCAACAGCCTTCATAAAAGAATAGGACTTTTAGCAGAGTGTTAGTGAATGAGAAATTAAATTTGATGTGCAAAACCATCTGCAAGAATAAGCAGTTGCTTTGTACTGTGCTTCATGAACCGACTGAAAGCTAGATTTAGCTGGTACCAGGCTGTTCTCAGGCTAAGTTTTCATTTTATCGTTGTACATTCAATAATCACTTGGCACCACAAAGGATTTAGCTAAAAAAAATTCCTAGTTGTTCTGATTCATCTGTCACTATATGTTTTCATCAAAGAGGGTTTGCTGGCTGTTATATGAACAATCCCATGTTTGAATGATCAAAAAGTCTTATTTGTTAGCAAGAAAGATTATGAAATTGTTAAACTATCAATTTCTAATTGTCCATTTTTAATTTCATTTCTCCTCTGTGAAGCTGCTGCTTAAATTTTACACTCAATGGCAGTTATAATTTTCTGTGACTTTAGAAGCATTGACATGTCTAAGATTTTAACAATAACTTCATTAACTGACTATTACCTAAGATATTTGACAATAAACAGTAGCTTACAAAACTGGGGATAGCTGGGAAAATTCTCACCATACTTTTATTACGGTCAACTGTACAATAAACACAGAAGCTTGAAGCTTATGTTGTTTAGGAACTGTCTTGAAGCAAAAGCTAAAACAAGGTTCTGGGGGTTTTTCCCTTTCATTTCAGAACTGAAGGCAATCCAGTTTTCACTGACTGGGTTATACTTCTTATATATAGTGCTACATACTGCTGTGAAAGTGGTAAGCCAGTTAGCTCCTGCAGGCAAACAGCAAGCACCAGAATAGTCACCCCCCAGTGGTTTCCTGAAAGAATAACCTCCTGTGCTTTTCTGTTGATTTCTTTTTAATACAGAATGAAATTGAGATATTGAAAGCTGAAAATGATCGTTTAAAGGCAGAGACTGGAAATGCTGGAAAGCCTGCCCGGCCGTCATCAGAGTCTTCAAGCAGCACATCATCTTCTTCATCACGGCAGTCACTAGGACTTTCTCTGAACAATTTAAACATCACAGAATCTGTTACATCAGGTAAACATGTTTTGGGAACATGCATGCCTCAGCAATTAGTAAGAATTTATTATTTTCACCCTCTTACTGGGCCATATATAAGAGGCATGCCTCAAAATTAAAATGCCTCATATCACTCAGGTAAATATCAGCTATATATTCACTCATGGAGATGAAGAGGAATACTGGCAGTCATTTTTGAAAATGTAGCTTTTAGAAGTTGCTGAATAATAGTAACAGATTGTTCATTACGTTTGCTTGGTTCCTAGCTATGATACTAACTACCTAGTGGGTCATCTAACTACTCTTTGGTCATCTAGTTTACAATTTATCTGAAAAGGACAATATCTGTTGTAGTATACATGGCAACTGTATAGATATATTCTCTTGTCCCTATGGGACAAATATGAGCATAGTACATGAAATTTTCTTTTTCATTTACACATCTTTTATCATTGATTTAGCTCCCTGAACTTCATTTCGTATTTGCAGCTGGGGCAGAAAGTGGTCTCAGTTAGCTTTATCCCTTACACTTTTTTAATGTGGTATAGCTAGTTAGCCGTAGGACCAAATCACCATTTATCATAGGAACCAAACCCCGCCTGGCTTATTAAGCACTGTCATTGTCTTCTGTGAATGAGAGAAAGCAAGCAGAACTTTGGTCCACATCCCGAACATTAACATTTGATTATTTTCCATGCCATAGAGTTTATGATAATAAGCCTTCTACACTTGTTTTGATAATGTAGCCAAGAAACAGAAGTGCCGTCTCTAACATTAGAATCAGGAGCAGAGCAGAAGCAAAGCAGCACTCGTTAGCGTAGACTCCACAGAAAGTATAATGCAGTCTCTGGAAGCAATAAAAATGTGGCTAATAATTGCAGAAAGAGTCTAGGCAAGAGTACAGCTGGAAATGTGCCAAACTGCCTGACTATAATTTGGATTGGCAGTTAGTCATATTATCTTGCCAGTCATTGATTACACAGATATTTGAATATTTCTTCTGGTTAATATCAGATTTTATATGAAAATTGGTATTTTTTTTATTTACATTCCAGCCTACATTTTTTGCCAGGTTTAACTTTTAGAATGAATGAACCTGAGCTGGGCCTCAGTATACAATGAAGTGTTCTAAAAACAGGGAGAAAAAGTTTAACTGTGGTTCCTGCTCACACACCCACATACATTAAAAAAAAATAAAAACCAGAACAGAATTTTTTTCAAATTGGTAATTGTAGAATCTCTTTCATGAGCAGCAACTATTAGCACTTTGTCGCTTGGCACTAACTCTGTCTAGATACAGGAATAAACATAATATCAGCTTTATATAATTTTCTGTGTTATTGGTTCTAAATGTTTTTCTAGCATGCAAAGTAATTACTTTTGGTTATAAAAAAATAAAGGAATAGGGGTGCCTAATGAGGAGTAGAGGATTTAATTTGATTATGAATCCAGTCTTTTTGATCATTGCGAGTATCATTTTGTTGCTGTGCCAGAGAACTTGGAAGGGTGACAGCTTCCTACCAAGTCTTGTGGGACTTCTGCAGCAGCTGGACTACTATTGAACAAAAGCCCCTGAGATATGGAGAGGTTAATCATGCTGGGAGCTAAGCTGAGAGAGAGAACAAGGGCTTTGGCTCATATTAAAAAATGCCATGGCACTTTCTGGGGAGATCAGCGTCTCCAAATGGCCATGGTCATCTGGAAATGACCAAAGCTATCCATCGCCACTTCCTAAGGTTATGACCATGTCCTTCAGATAGGTGTGAGTGGGAAGGGGCTCTGTGGTCACAGACACCCGTATTTCAGTCGGTCACTGGAGTAAAGAGCAGCAAACAAGGACCAGTACAAGACTCTGCCTGTACTGGCCCATGAAAAGAGTGCCAGAGCTCAGCCAAGAAGTGAGCCGGAGCCACCATAGTGCACCTAAGGAGGAGGCCTGGCAGGAGGTAATTAAAGCAATTAGCACCACCGTGAAATTAGACCCCTTTGGGCATCTTCTCAGCTCCTTGTGCCAGTGAGAGGGAGAGCTCTTAGAAAGTGGAATTTTTTTCTGGCCACAGAGTGGTTCCTCATTCCTAAAGACTTACAGAGGAATGTATTTAAAAGGCTACATGAGGGTCATTTAGAGATTGAAAAATTTCACAGGGGGATCAGTTATATTGTAAATTGCCCTCAGACAAACTGTGACATTATGGAAACTCTTAAGGTTTGTCAAATATACCAAAACACAAAACAAGTGAAGTGAAACATTCAGTGTTGGTGGCACCGAAAGACTGTCTGCCTGGAACAAGACAAGCATGGATTTGTTTTAGCTTACAACAAAAATGCTTCTTCATTCAATCAATTAAAAAATAAAAAACCAGCAGCAGAATCTGCTTTCTAGATCTGGGTGTAAGTTATCAAACATTTTACACGAGGACTTATTTTTTAATACATTCATTGAAGTCTTCTTTGGTTTTGCTTTGAGCAAGTGACTGAATCTTACTGGCACCTCATTTAATTTGGGTGAAATCTGACCTCGTGCAGACTATGACATGAAGTCGATGATTTTCTTCAATCACCACAATAAGAATGAGCAGGACTTAGGGTAGTGGGTTACTGTGCTGGCCTTTGAAGAAAATGCAAATCCACAATCTCTCCTAATTTGATAGTTAGTTTAAATGTCTAACAGTAAAATATTTGAGAGAACTAGAGGAAGACAGCAGTTTTATCCCTCGCAATAAGGCTGCAGGCTCAGCCTTCAGTAAGAAATACACTCTCCTGCTTTCTCATTTTAGGAGTTAATGAAGAGGTAGAAACAGAGGCACAGAGCAGATCAGAATCACTCTTTACCCCCAAGAAAAATGAAACTTTTTCTTAGAGGAATAGCTGAACACAGGGTCCCATATTCTGGAGGACTGCAAAGTGGTTTGCTAATGAACACTGTTTGTAAGCCTGTATGGTGAGGGTAGAAAAGACTCTATCCATGCCATGTGTACAGAAGGTAAAGAAATCAGCTGGAAAAGAAATTAAATGCTATTTTACTTAGCAGCAAACATATCAATGCAAGGATTTCTTGTTTTTCTCCTTACGACATTCTAAAGGGCACAATGAGTGCCCAAAGGTATAAACTTAATTTAGGTTTTAAACAACATTGCTTTTCAGACTTATGGCAATTTTGAACAAGTTCCAAGAAGGAAAGCAAAGTCAAGACTATAATGCAAGAATTTATTTATTTATGGATTCCCTATTCATTTCTACATGATTAAAGCTCCTCATATTGCTTCAAAAATTGACAAATTGTAATTTTTTTTCATCTCCAACAGAAAAGGTGAATTAGGAATAAGTACAGATTACAATGATTGTAAGTTGTTGTGATGGCAGCCTTTCTTTTTAACTGAAAAATCCTTTGAACAAATATTGAACTGATGATGTGAACATGTGATGTGATTTGTCAGGTTGATCCCTTCTCTTCTTTTATTGTAGATATTTTGTTGGATGATGTCACTGATGGAGCACTCCACAAAGAAGGTCATAGCGTGAAAATTTTAGTCACTATAAACAAAGGCTATAGTCGAGCTAAGGTAAGTTCATTACCCAAAGGTCTAGATGCAGAATTATAGCTCAGGCAAATCTTACAGTATAGTAGCTAAACCTGTTTCATTATTTTCAGCCAGGAACTGAAGGGAAATATCCTAAAGATAGCACCTCTCTTCTCTGTCATCCATGCTCAATACAGTTAGGCACTCTCCTCAGATTAATGTCATATGGCCTCCTTCTGCCTTTGTGGTGGCTCAGACACTACCAATTCTCAGTTTAATTAGTAGTAGGATGTTCTGGGACTTGCTATCTCCATTTAAAAGTCATTATAAACTAGATCTACACCTTGGACCCCTTAGGGTGCAACTACGAATATGCTGCTGAGGTAATCAATTTGGAATTGCATTGTCGTGTTTTCATGTTCTGTATTACAAAAAATTATAAATACAGTGCAACTTTTATTTATATTCACCTCTTTATAAACAGATGCAATCAAAGAGCAAAATAAGATACTGTATTTCCTTCCTTATAAAGATGTACCAAAGTAATATCATCAATACCTATTTCTGGCACAGAGATTATTAACAAAGTTGTAGCATCACATTCTAAATAATATTATTTTTTCTTCATTGGGAAAATTATGAATCTTCATAGGAAACTAATTACTACCATTTTTAGTCCAGTTTCCAAAAATCTCTCTTTGCAGGATCAAAAACCACATGCATATCTGATAGGATCAATTGGAGTCAGCGGAAAAACAAAATGGGACGTTTTAGATGGTGTAATCAGACGTCTCTTTAAGGTAAGGCACTGAAAAATTAGCTCAAGTATTAATTCAGTTTTCTTTTTCACTTAAGAATTCTGTATTCTTTGGGCTGTCTTGCCAAGTTTTTGTTTTGTTTTTTGACATGTAGCTAACACCACTATTAAACTTTAATGTTGCTGTTCTTTTTTCATAATTGTAGGCAGTTCTCTATTGAATGTGACTGCAAGAATTTTCTTGTCAAGTGACTTCACTTGTACCAAAATATTTTCCAAACTGCTTTCATTCAATAACCATTTTTATTTTTATGTCTTATGTTTTCATATAATTTCAGGAATATGTTTTCCGAGTGGATCCGACTACTAGCCTGGGTTTAAGCTCTGACTGCATTGCTAGCTATTGTATAGGGGATGTAATTAGAGCCCATAGCCTAGAAGTGCCTGAACTGCTGCCTTGTGGATATCTGGTTGGAGATAATAATGTCATCACTGTGAACCTGAAAGGTAAAACCCCGAGAATATTTTTGCAGATACTGTAGAGTTCTTCACTGCAGTCCCCCATCCCTTCATAGTTTTTTTCTTACACCTGACCTTTCTGTATTTTGTCTCCAGTTCAAGCACTCATTTATGACATAAACTCTGTGCGTGATGTTGTACAACACCTAACGCAGTGGGGCGTTTTGAGAAAAATCTAGGAATATCTCTGTCTTTCACTGCCTGACTGCCAAATCACAGCAAACTACAAATTTCTGAATAGTGGCAAAAAAAACCCAACCCCAAAACAGAGATTACGATGAGAAATATTTACGCCTTATCCAGTTCTGCAGGAAAAATTCAATACATTTTAAAAGCTGTAGGGATTTGCTATTGAAAGGGCAGGGGGGCCTTCAGAAGAACTATACGTACATCGATATGACAACTGGTAACCCTTGTGGCTGTCACTTTGACCTTTTTTTTTTTCATGGTTGCCTGTAGTGTCTGAAACATACATCTTTGCCTCACTGAGCCTTCTCTTCACATTTACTTTGATTTCATCTCTCCCACTCATCTTGTCCTACTACCACTGTTTAATTTTTTGACCCTGTGGATATAAGCATTTCCACAGTAATGAAGCCCTTGACAGGAATTTGATTTAGGCAGAAGTATCTTACCTTGCTTTGAGCATAGCACTGATACTATCAGGTGCTGGGCCAAACCTATACCTACCCTAGCAATGATGAAGACAGGCCATTTTTCTTTTCTTTTGTTCCCAGGAGTGGAAGAAAACAGTTTGGACAGTTTTGTGTTTGACACATTAATTCCTAAGCCAATTACCCAGCGGTACTTTAATTTGCTGATGGAGCATCGCAGAATTATTCTGTCGGGACCCAGTGGCACAGGAAAGACCTATTTAGCTAACAGGCTGGCTGAATATATTATAACTAAATCTGGCAGAAAAAAAACTGAGGATGCCATTGCAACTTTTAACGTAGATCACAAGTCAAGCAAGGTAAGTTACAGTTGTAAAGATAACCTATTGCCCAATTTGTAGTGATGATGCAGAGCAGATCCTATTAATTGACATACTGTTTTATTGCTCAGTTAGCATTTTTTCCTACAAGAATTCAGTCTCCAGTCCCAGTGAGGAGCAGAGATCAGATCTTTCTGCTCTAAACAAACCATTGAAGCACTGTGAAGGAAGTCTGAATTTTCCCTCCACTTCAGGAAACCCACCTTAAGGATAGATGCAGAGTCAAATTCCTATGTAAATTCAATTCTTAGAGTGTCTGTAATTCCTTTGTCAGAAAGGTTGGATATATAGTAATACTAGTCTAACTTGCTTTTTTATAGTGATAATAGCAGCCTATTGTTAGCAAAGATTTCAGAATGGGGATTTTGAATTACTATCTTGGGTTCAGCTTCGTAATCAGCACTGGATAAATACAACCGCTGCCACGGTTTCTGGCGTGTATCGGTCAGGAAGCTGACCACACTAAAATTGCCTCATGCATCATGTCACATTCACAGTGATTTACATAGCTCAGATTATCAAGCTTCTAGAATGACTACTGTGCTAGCCGCAGATAATACTATTCACTTGCTGTACTAAATTGGGTATACTCCTAACTTGGTGCCCAGGGAAAAGAAAATGAAAGGTTTTGCCCAGAGCTTTCTGATTTGCACAGAACATAATGAAGGTTAACATAATATAAGAAGGAAGAACATATAGATCCCAAAGGGGCGAGGGGACCATTCCAGTAAAAACACCACTTTTAACTGTCTTTATACAAAGGATTTGTGATGCCATTTACTTCAGCAGGGGATGTGTTTATGTTTTATTATTATACCATGTACATTTATAATGAAAATTGTCCCACAAAAGAGCAAGCTTTTGGATCTCTGGTAAATTGCTTGTTGTATGGGTTATTGTTTTGGAGTTTTGGTGTTGGGTGTTTTTTTCCTTTTCGTTTGTTTCTATTAAGATTTATATAGAACTTTTGAGTTTATAGTAAAAAATAAAAAACAACATTGTCCAATACCAAGTGTGTTTGAATAATATAGATGGTGCTATTCCATGGAAGAAACCCATGATGTTCCCCTAGAGACACCTGATCATAAAAAGCCAGACAAAAATCTTTCTTGAGATACAAAAAGATTACAGGTTCCCATTAAAGAAAAAAAGAAAAAAAAGATTCTGCTATCCCTGATCCAGGAAGTAAAACAGTAATAGGAACTTCGTCCATAATACTGAGCATTCCCAACACTGACAAAATTAGATACCTCTAGGGATACAGCTGTAAAACTTGACTAGCCCAGACCCCCAAAGGCAACCAAATGCCGAGAAAAATATGAAATGTTTTGATTATAGAAAGCTCTCTTTTACTCCAGCACTAAATGGCAGCCAGACAGATAGCTGACAGGAAAAAAGGATTTACACAACAAACTTTATTATGATGTGTGATATAGTATCCCCAAAAGGTCAAACAGATTTTCAGTCAGAGTGGTGAAAGGAGATATCTGAAGGAGCAGTTCAATATGCCTAAATTGTGTGATAATTTGGTGGGGTTTTTTTGGTATATAAATGTGGCATTCATAAAAATGGAGGTCCAACAATTAATGTGAGTATCTCAGCCCATTGGAAATGGCATATTTTATTGCAACCTATTTTCCACTGCAGATAAGATATTTTATCAGCAGGTTTCTAAGGAATGTATCCACCAAATAGGAATGTGTATGCTTCAGTCACTTGCCTTATGTATAGTGCCTTTGTTTTTCCTGGCATGTGGCTTAAATGTTGCCCTATCTAAGAAGCAGGTCTTTCTGCGTGTGCTGATCCAGCTGAATGACCCCCAGTGGGGAAACTCTGTAGCAGCCTCTTTATCTTTCTGAAAATCTTTTCCACTGAAATTATATCTATGGTCTAATTGGGTTAATCTTTTCTGGGTTTTTTTGTTAATTCTACTGAAGGATCTGCGACAATACCTAGCAAACCTAGCTGAGCAATGCAGTGCTGACAACAATGGTGCTGACCTGCCTGTGGTCATAATTCTTGATAACCTCCACCACATCAGTTCACTAAGTGACATCTTCAATGGTTTCCTCAACTGTAAATATAATAAATGGTAGGTAGCAGCTTTTCTCTCCCCTTTCACACACCTTTTGCAATTAAAACAGTAAGACCTGTTTGTCATTTTGCAAAATAAAATGTCCCAGTGGAAGCTTAGACTCCCATAGGCTGTCAGCAAAGCCCTTTTGTGCTTGAATAATTTTAACCCTCTTCAGCCAAGTACTTAGGTGTCTGCTTCACTTTATTTATATGACTCCCATGCATCTCAGTAAGATGTAAACATACCACAGAATTCAAGAATGTACGGAAACACTTAACTGAATTAGGATCTTATCCCTTTCACCCTGTCAGATCACACAAGCTCATTAGTACTATGAGTATAGCTTATGGGAGAGTAAGAAGAAATGCACTTTATGATAGTGGAATTTGGGATATGTGCGAATCCACATACCATGCCGTGCAGAAGTAGCTGTGTATCTGGCAGACTTGCACTTCCTACAGTTTTCCTGTAGCAGTGCAGAAGTATGAAGTTTGCTAACTATCCTTTATTGCCAAGCAAGAATAAAAATAACATTTTCTGGAACTTTTACTGGCCTATAACATTGGCTATTTCTGCTGTAAAAGTGCCATCACAGGGACTTCCCTCCATAAAATCACTGCATGCTATGTCTTACTCATGAGATGCATGGGCTTCTGAAATTAAAACTCTAAGCCTCCTGCAAAATTATGAGGTACATGAGGACAGCGTTGCCTCATTTATTTCTTTATTACAGATGAGTACTAGTAAACTACAAATGTGCAGAGAGGGAAATCGTACAAGAATAAACATTAAAAAAGGGCGCCTCAGAAATATTTTAAATCTAAAACTACAATACATCCAGCAACTCTTTTAAAATTGGCCTAGTACAGATAAGAAGAAAGAATCTTCTCTGAATATTTGAATAGATTCTCCCTCAAAAAAACTACTACTTTTCTCTTTTCAGTCCCTATATTATTGGAACCATGAACCAGGGAGTTTCTTCTTCACCAAATCTGGAGCTGCATCACAATTTCAGGTACATTCACTCTGTATTTAATGTGGCTGTGTTTGCACAGCTCGCTGCTTCGCAGCCCAGTTCTTCAACAAGCATTGATCTTGTGTCTCATCACAGCAAAGTGTTTTAGCTTCTGCATCTCTCCTGTATTGATGGGTCTCTGAACAGTGTTGGGGAACAGTGAAAGAAATAAGATATTTTCCGGCACCTCTAGCAAGATGCTGAAGACGATTGCATTCTTGCATTCCATTTGTCTTCAGCATTGTCTTGAATTTCTGCTGAAACCTGTAATGATTGTGTTGTAGCAGTGGGAAATAATGTGGTTTATTGGAGCAGTTTTGTACTTGCTGACAAATGAGACGCAGAAGCTTATGACATTACCTTCACCTATATGTTTAAGAGGAAATGATGTATTTGCTATTCATCGCTGCTTGACATTTATCCTTTTTACCCAGGTGGGTGCTGTGTGCTAATCACACAGAGCCTGTTAAAGGTTTCTTGGGCAGATATCTGAGAAGGAAACTGATTGAGACTGAAATAGAAAGGAACATACGCAATAATGAGCTCATCAAAATCATTGACTGGATCCCCAAAACATGGCATCATCTCAACAGCTTCCTAGAAACGCACAGCTCTTCAGATGTAACCATTGGTGAGTCCATTGGTGGAGTGGTTTGAAATAAGGATGCAGGCTGAGCATGTTAGAGATTTGTAAAGGGTATATTATGTTTTTAAGAGCTGTCATCTCTCAATGGGAAGTACAACATCAGCGTGGGGAATTTATCTGGTTGCCAGCAAGACTGAAATGAAAATGGAGAGTTTAATGAGAGGGTGTATTTCCTGGTATTTCTGCCTTGGTTGCTCAAGACTTTCAAGTAAATGATCATAATTTTAAAAAGTTAAATTTACAAAGAATTACCTCAATAGTAACTTTCCTAAGCTTATTTTTTTCCCCTGTTTTCACACTGCAGTATAATTATAGCAATAAAAGCACTTGGACAGTCAGTTCAGCAAACTAGCAGGTGGGAGATATACATGTCTTTTAGTGGAATAGCTATGTTAGCAAAGAAGTCATCCTTTTACATAGCTTTGCCCATAAAACTTGTAAGTGTTCATCAGGCTTTAGAATTGAATAAAGTGACACTAGTTCATTTTTAATAACAGGAGACTGATAGCTCCCTTATTGTAGTCCTGTATTAGTATTCTCTTCACTTGAGTTTGCTCCAATACTACTTTTTAATTCTGTGAAGATTATTTTTAGTGTGTTCCCTAGTTCTACTTTCTTTGATACAAAATTTGACTTCTCAGGTCCCCGCCTCTTCCTGCCTTGCCCTATGGATGTTGATGGCTCCAGAGTGTGGTTCACAGACCTCTGGAACTATTCCTTGGTGCCGTATCTTCTGGAAGCTGTGAGAGAAGGACTTCAGGTATGTCATTTGTTTACCAGCATTTTTTTTTAATTAGTTTCATAGGCTTTCTCCAAGCTAGTTTTAACCAATGCATCCAAGTATGAATGCTGTTGCATTTGCAAGAAGAGAATCTCTGGAGGGATTATAGAAACGAGCCTTGAAGTCCTTTTGACTTGCTGTTACTCTTGATGTATAATTTGGCTTTGTCTGCTCCAGCACTAGCATATCTTGTATTTTATGAAGAGGGTTTCTCTTCCGTGACTGGAGGAAGTTTCTTCTTTTTCCACTGTTTAAAGAGTTCACAGCAATGCTAAATACAGCTCAGATTGCCTCCCTGAGTCAAGGCAGTCTCAGCCTACCCCTGCATGGAAGAGTTATTAACCCTTACACTGGTGCAAGAAAATAGCTTTGTCTGTGTAATCCTCTCCCAGCAACGTACACATGTAGGCACACAGGCTTGCAAAGGAAAGCTTGTGAACAAGGGTATTTTCACCATTCAGAAAAAAAAAATGACTGGCCTTATCTGACCAGATTGAGATAATTTACCTTTTGGCTGTGCTGAACATGAAGGTCAGTCCTTTTTTGCCCTTATATCTTGCAACCCTGGTTGTATGTCCCATAGTTTTGTTTCTCCTTTTTTCTTTCTCTGTGTGGACTAAGGTTTCCTCCTGACTGTAATTCTCATTTTGGGTGACAGTGCCATCAGATCAGAGTGCTTCACGGTTCCCCCTATCCTGTCCTCTCCAGAGCTAGGTGTTAGCAGCAGTTCCATTGATTGTTAATGAACTATTAAAATTTCTTCTACTTTAATAGAAAGAGGGATAGAAACAGATTTGTTGTAGATAGCACTGTAAGCTGTCCCATATAGGTTAAGATTTCAGACCATTCCACATCTTTGGAGCAAACCTAAATCTTGAAGTTAATCCTTTCTTCTTTTTTTTTTTTTTTTCCCAATCTTTATTTGGCTTTCTCCTTTTTCCTTTTTCTTTTACGCACTGCAATTCTATGTCCTCTGAAAAGACGCTTTGTGGAAAGGCATTTTTTTGCCACTGAAAGGAATTATTGCACAGTGCAGAGGGGATTGTTATGGACTAGTCAAAGAATGGTGTAAGCAGCTGCGGTTTCTTTATCACCTTGTATTGACATAGTGACATACAGATGTGATGGAGGTTTAGAATCTTGCCTGTTGAATATCTCATGCTTTCCTAAAACTGCTTATCTCTCTGGGAATTACAGAGTGTTTATGCCTTGTGCAAATACCTGCCAAACATCTGATAGAACAGCCATGGTGAGATTAACAGCGCTTGTTTAGACCAGCTATAAAAATGCAGTGATATTCTTCATGCTCGTATTTTCCCAAGTATACAGGGTACCTACTTAAATGAAAACTTCAATTCTGGAGCAGAAGATGGCAGCATATAGAAGAAAATACGTTGTTCCATGAGTCGTTCTGATTTTCAGCTACTTTGGATGGCTTCCATAGAATAACATTATTATTAATAAACAGAAATCTTTTATATGATATAATTAGATGTTCCTGGAACCAGGGACGGGTAGAAAATGCCCTTCTAGCCTGGTACTTTGCAAACTCACTTGACAGACACAGAATTTACAAGCCTTGCTCCAGATTCCAGAAAAGATTTAATCGCTGTTAATCTCAGATGAGGGGAAGTGCTGCCGACAGCCTGGAGTTAGCCTGCTGCCTCCCTGAGAAACATTTCCTCTTGGCTTATTTAGGCATATAATATATGCCTGTTATAGCAGCATATAATATATGCATATATATATATAAAGGCATATAATATATGCCTGTTATAGCAGCCTAGCCTCAGTGTAGGGCAGAAGGAGTCTGAGGATCTGTGTGCATAATATAGAGAACTTGGCTGCCTAACCTGGAGCTCTGGATTCAGCAAGTGCCTGGGAGCAGGTGTTGCAGTGATAAGCACAACTCATCTCTCTGGCTTTAGCACTAAAATCCTTCACTGTTTTACTCCCTTTAGGAGTGCAAGCCCATCTAAATGCTCCATGAGTGTATGCCCTGCCAATATTATGCTGCTCCTTGGATTGCGTGAGGCTGTTTGAGCTAGGAGAAATCACAGAAAGGCCTGGTGACTGGCTCCCCTTCCCAATGTGTCATTGTCACAGCTAAAGGAAATCTGTAAAGCAGCAACCCAGGGGTTCTCGGTTAGCATGTTGCTTGTGAACAGCAATGCGGGGAAGGGTGCATTTTAGTGAGGAAGCTACCAGACCTCCTAAACTTACCATATTCTCATTCTTCCTTCCTCTGTCCTCCTTCCAGATTCGTAAGTGGTTTTGTGCTTCATGGAAGGGAAAACCTATCCTTTGTGAATTTCTTCTCTTATCCTTGTGAAAAATCTCAAACTTAAGGTGTGGACAGCTGTATGCTTCTGCATCCCGTTTTGCTAGGAGAAGAGAACAATCTGCACTGGCACCTCCTAATTCACTTTAAACAAAATCCAATTAACTTGAATGTTTTAGATAGGTCTGAGTTAATTTCACTGACATGCCTTAAGCAAATTACCTAAAGGTCTCATTTCACATTGTATCAAAAACTTGTGGCTCCCACTGTTGCCTACAAGTATCATCAGTTATGGAGTGCATTTCAACTTGCAGCCGCTCTGTGTATTGAAGGAGCATTAATGGAGATGAAGTCTTTTGTGTGTCTTATCATGTCTGAGTGCTGAGAATATTTGAAAGCAAACCACTTGCTAAAATGGTTTAGACGTTTTTGATGACTTTTGTCTGCTGTTACAACTGTACCGAAAACTCGGATACTCACCTGTGTTATATCCATAATATAGATGTACGGTAAGAGGGCACCCTGGGAGGACCCCGCCAAGTGGGTAGCTGATACCTATCCATGGAGCTCTGCATCTCTACAGCATGAGTGGCCATCGTTACTTCAGTTAAGACCAGAAGATGTTGGTTATGAAGGTTATGCATCAGCAAAGGAAGGAACAACCTCAAAGCACGTTCCACAGACTGATACAGAGGGGGATCCCTTGGTAAGATTTAAACTTTGAGGAAAAGGTTTTTCAGTATATACTTTACTGTCACATGTTAAATTGTACACTGTACAGTAAAAAACTACTGTGTACCTGTTCCAAAATGGGCTTTTAAAATGAATCCTACTATAACTTATTAAAAAGGTTGAAAATAAAAGGAAAACCTAGCAGGAGGGCAGGTATCACCATAATGTTAATATGCCCCTAAATTATTTGCATTTCCCAACTGTCCAGAAATGTATCTGGTCTTCAGCATTATAATATTTGGGTACCACTCTTCAACAACTTATTAATCAGTTTATTCTAAAAACACCTTTCCAGGTTGGACAGTCCATCTACATTCTACAAATGAAGGACTGAGAAACACATTATCTAACTTGTCTATCACAGAGAATTTAGTGGAAATGCAAATTAGACAGCCACCCCCCCATTCCTCAGAACATTTCAAGATAACTGATGACTGCATAGCAATCTTAATGTAAAAGGAATGCAAGTGTGGTGTCATTAAAAGATAAGACATTGATTTCCCTCAATGCCATGTATTGTTTTATTTAAATGTGATCCCAGACATTTGGGTTTACCATTGCCTTCTCTGATAATGGGCTATTAAATTGTATATATTGAACTGCTATTCTTCTCTAGTGCTTTCTCTGTAGACTGCCTTTATCACAATTTAAAATACCATTTTAGAGAACCATACTTCTGGAATACAGGCAGCCCTTGGAAAAGGGAATTTCTCAGAGGAAAATGCATTTAACTCTTATCAGTGCTGAGAAAATGACTCCTCAGCCTCACTAAAGTATTTGGTATCCAAAATCAGACCTTGCATCCTGAAGAAGTGTAGAAAATCACCTCATTTGATCCCCTGTCTCCCAGTCCATAATCTTTGGGGTGATTGTTTGACCCTGTGAGTTGGGCTGCCGGTGAGTGCATTGGCCAGGCTTCCAGCACGTATGCATCACCTTCACTAAGGTGAAAATACTTGGGCAGCTCAAGTTCAGTGTCCTGTCACCCTTGCTCCCTCACACTGTGATCAGTATCTATATCTGACTAATTATTAGATGTTGAAACTTGTGAACGAAGGGCTTGCCCCTGCCTCCAGTGGAGCTCATGGGGAGACAGACATCGTGCTTGTGGAAAGAGGACATTTCACATGCAGGCTGTCCTGCACACCCTCCGCATGTACCCTGTATTCTCAAACACGGATACCTATTAAACCTGCAGCAAAAACTACCTGATAGCTTTAAAGAGTATTAAACACTGTTCAATGCCTAGAGAAAACTTTACAGTCTGTACAGGTTGAAACCATAGAGATGTAAGGGTTCCTGAGCAAACTGGAAAACGGGGCTTAGCACACAAACACACAAGAATACCTCTTTCTCTCTGGTTTTTCGTTGCCTGTTTTCTGTAATGACAGTGTATTTGTTCCTTGAAAAACAGTAAAGCAATGTCAACATTGCTTGCAGCCCTGAGCAAGCTGGCAGAAGCGGATGTTTTATAAATAAAATCCTGATCATTACACAGAGTTAGGCATCAAGCATCCAAGTAATTTTCTGGGACTTAATGCTGATTTTGATGATTTTTCAGATGGGCTTCAGATTCTAATAATCCCCAAATTATGTGGCGGCTCTCCTCTCCTGGGTAGGAGGATCTGTTGCTGCTCCCCTGCTGAGGTCAGCCCCTCGACAGCAGATGGGACTCTTTTATGAAGCAGCTGGCCTCGGTCCACCCCTCTCCCACTCCCTCCCCGTCTCTCTCTTGCAGAGGGGGTATGTTAGTGTGATTATGTTTTCAGTTGCTTTTCCAATGTAGTGTGTCTACACCATCCAAAAATTATCTGGAAGCTTGACTGTCTCCAAATATGGGCCCAGATGTCCAGCCGTGATATGGCTTCCTTCCCCCGCCGGGGTTGCAGCTGGCGGCGGGCTC